CTCACTGCAACCTTCGCCTCCCAGATTCAAGAGATTCTCCTGCCTCAACCTCCCGAGTAGCTGGGATTACAGGTATGCACCACCACGCCCAGCTAATTTTTGTATTTTGAGTAGAGATGGGGTTTCATCATGTTGGCCAGACTGGTCTTGAATTCCCAACCTCAAATGACTGGCCCACCTCCCTCCCTTTTATTTCTATACCCACTCCCATTCCTTTCTCCCCCATGCCAGGTAACCATTCTATGGTGTTAATACATAAAATCGTTATGAGTTCTTGCATAAAGTGAATTGTTAGTTATAATATTTTAATTAATATAAATGGTTTTCCCCACACATGCATTCTTCCTGCTTTCACTGGGTACTATGTTTTATGATTGAGCCATATGGCTAAGTGTACATCTTGTCTCTGGTTTTTAACTATTGCTACTTCATTGTGTACGTTCACCACATTTTTACCTTTCTCCAGGTGTAGATATCCAGGTTGTCTCCGATCCCATGATGTCAAAAATAATTCCCAATAATGGATATTTATGAAAATCTCTTTGGGATATTACACCAAGCACAGCAATTACTAGGTCAGAGGGTACATGAATACTTAGGTATGTTCTTGCTCTCCAGAATAGGTACATCCATTTACACTTATTATTTTTTTTTGAGACGGAGTCTCCACTCTGTCGCCCAGGCTGGAGTGCAATGATCTCGGCTCACCGCAAGCCTCCCGGGTTCACGGCATTCTCCTGCCTCAGCCTCCTGAGTAGCTGGGACTACAGGTGCCTGCCACCACGCCCAGCTAATTTTTGTATTTTTTAAGTAGAGACAGTGTTTCACCATATTGGCCAGGCTGGTCTCAAACTCCTGACCTTGTGATTGGCCCACCTTGGCCTCCCGAAGTGCTGGGATTACAGGCGTGAGCCACCGTGCCTGGCTGTTTACACTTTCATCAGTGGTGCAAGTTGGGTTTCTTCAGGCCCACGTGCCTCCAACATTTGGTGTCATTCAATTTTACAATTTTTGTAACTCTAAATAGTATAAAGTGGCCATTTAAAATTTTCATTTCCTTATTTTATCTTTTGGGACAGGGTCTCGCTTTATTGCCCAGTCTGGCTTGCAGTGGCTCGATCATGGCTCACCACAGCCTCAACACCCTGGAATTAAGCAATCCTCTCACCGCAGCCTCCTGAGTAGCTCGGACTACAGACACGCACCACTATGTCCGGCTAATTTTTGTATTTTTTGTAGAGATGGGGTTTTAACATGTTGCCTAGGCTGGTCTTGAACTGAAGTAATCCACCCACCTTGGCCTCCTAAAGTGAAGGAATTATAGGGATGAGCCACCATACACAGCCTTTCCAACACTTTCTTCTATTACAGTTCTAACCTTTTGCCATTTAATATATCTGGAGTATAGCTTTGTGTTATGAAGGGATCTAACTTTGGCTGGGCACAGTGGCTCATGCCTGTAATCCTAGCATTTTGGAAGGCTGAGGCAGGTGGATCACCTGAGGTCAGGAGTTCAAGACCAGCCTGACCAAGTGAAACCCCATCTCTACTAAAAATACAAAAATTAGCTGGACACGGTGGTAGGCACCTGTAATCCCAGTTACTCGGGAGGCTGAGGCAGGAGAATCACTTGAACCCAGCAGGCAGAAGTTGCAGTGAGCCGAGACTGCAACATTGCACTCCAGCCTGGGCAGCAATTGCAAATTTCTGTCTCAAAAAACAGAAACAAAAACAAGAAAAACAAAAATTAGCTGGGCGTGGTGGCAGACACCTATAATCCCAGCTATTCAGGAGGCTGAGGCAGGATAATTGCTTGAACCCAGTGGGAGTGGAGGTTGCAGTGAGCCGAGGTCACGCCACTTCACTCCAGCCTGGGTGCAAGAGCGAACCTCTGTCTCAAAAAAAAAAAAAAGAAAAGAAAAGAAAAGAAAAAAGACAAAGAAAAAGAAGAAGGGATCTAGTTTCATTTTTCTCTAGCAAGACCGTATCCTCAACTTCATCTAATAAAAACTCTTCCTTTTTCATGGTGTCATCTTTGTAAATATTAAATTGCCATATATCCATGGGTTGTCTCTGGACTCTATTCATTTGCATTATTCTTAGGTCATGTCACAGTTTTTACTACTATGATTTCGTAGAATGTCTTAGTATCTTAGTGTCTTAGTAGGGAAAATCATCTCTTTTTTTCGGGGGATGGAGTTTCACTCGTCGCCCAGGCTGGAGTGCAATGGAGCAATCTTGGCTCACTGCAACCTCCACCTCCTAGGTTCAAGCAATTATTCTGCCTCAGCCTCCCGTGTAGCTGGGATTATGGGCGTGTGCCACCATGCCCAGCTAATTTTTGTATTTTTCAGTAGAAATAGGGTTTCACCATGTTGGTCAGGCTGGTCTCCACCTCCTGACCTCAGGTGATCCACCAGCCTCGGCCTACAAACTGCTGGGATTACAGGCGTGAGCCACACTGTGCCTGGCCCTTCCATATAAATTTTAAAGTAAGCTTGAGTTCATCAAAAGATCCAACCGGAATTTTTATTGGGATTAATGTAATCTGCTTTTTCACATTAAATTTTGAATGTTCACTTTTATAATATTGTCATCTCATTGGAAGCAAAGAATGTTCCTTAGATTATTTTCTATGTCTTCATTAGAGTTTTAACGCTTTCTTCAAATAGACCTTGTGTAACCTTGGTTAATTCCTTGATATTTTACATTTTTATACCTATTGTGAAATGATATGCTTTGGATTTTCGTTGGCTGATCTGATTTATACTGGCGACCTTGCCGAGTCTCTTAGGAGTTAGAATAGTTTGTTGATGGTTGAATTTTTTAGGCAGATATCATTTGCAAAGGAGAGGTTTTGTTTTCGCTTCTCTTCCAATCCTTACATGCTATAATTGTTTTTCTTTCCTTATAGTATTAATCAGGATTCATACTACTATGATAGGCCTCTTCAGTGACTCGTGGTCTCAAAAGGAATGCATTGAATCTAACATTTCTCCACTAAATGTAATGTTTACTGTAGGTTTTGGTGTTTTTTTTTTTTTGTTTTTTTTTTGAGACGGAGTCTCGCTCTGTCGCCCAGGCTGGAGTGCAGTGGCCCAATCACAGCTCACTGCAGCCTCAACCTCCCGGGCTCAAGCAATCCTCCCACTTGAGCCTCCCAAGTAACTGGGACTACAGGAACACACCACCACACCTGGCTAACTTTTTGTATATCTATTTTTAATTTTTGTAGAGATGGGATTTTGCCATGTTGCCTAGGCTGGTCTCAAATTCCTGGGCTGAAGCACTCTGCCTGCCTTGGCCTTCTGAAATGCTGGGATTACAGGTGTGAGCCAGCAGACCCAGTCCCTACTGTAGGTTTTTATTGTATAAACTTTCACCAGGTTTAAGTACTGTATTGCTAACTTAGCCAGGCGTGGTGGTGTGCACCGGTAGTCCCAGCTACTCAGGAGACTGAGGCAGGAGAACTGCTTGAATCCAGGAGGTAGAGGTTGCAGTGAGCCAAGATTGCACTCCAGTCTGGGCAACAGAACAAGACCCTGTCACACACACACACACACACACACACACACACACACACTCTATTGCTAAGTTGATGTTTATATTTTTCATAAATAGTTGTGAAACTTTCCCATGTTTTTCTGTATCAATTAAGAAAATCTTGGCCAGGCGCAGTGGCTCACACCTATAATCCCAGCACTTTCGGAGGCCGAGGTGGGTGGACCACCTGAGGTCAGGAGTTTAAGACCAGCCTGGCCAACATGGCGAAACCCCATCTCTACTAAAAATACAAAAAAAATTAGCTGGGTGTGGTGGTGGGTGCCTGTAATCCCAGCTACTTGGGAGGCTGAGGCAGAAGAATTGCATGAACCTGTAAGGCAGAGGTTGCAGTGAGCCCAGATTGAACCATTGCACTCCAGCCTGAGCAAAAAGAGTGAAACTTGGTCTCAAAAACAAAAAGATAATCTTGATTTTTTTTTCCGTTTTTCCATCACTGTCATAGATTTTCCTATTTTGAGTCATGCTGGTATTCCTCAAAGTCTACTTGGTCATGTTTTTTCTTTTTAAAGATACCATTGAATTTGGTCACCAAATATTTTTAAATGTGAATACATATTGATAAGCAAAATGGAACTATTTTCATTTTTATCTGGTTTGGGATCAACATTACATCAGCCTTATAAGTTATTAAGATAGCTGCCCTGGCTTCTCTTTCCTATTTGGCATTTTTGTTTTGTTTTGTTTTTGGTAACAGCTTTTACTGAGATAGAATTCATTTATTTAAAGTGTACAATTCAATGGTTCCTAGTATATTCATAGTTGTATAACTATCACCACAGTCACTTTTAATACCCCCTCAAAGAAATCTCAAACCCTTTAGCTGTCACCCACCAATCATCCCATCCTTCCCCCTCCTCCCAGACCAAGGTAACCTCTGACACATGTTCTTTCCCTATAGATTTCACTATTTTGGCCATTTCATATAAAGGAAATGGTTCAATATATGGTCTTTTGTGGCTTTTACTTAGCATGTTTTCAGGATTCATCCAAGTTGTGGCATGTATCAATATCAGTATTTTGGGGCTGGGTGTGGTGACTCATGCCTGTAATTCCAGCACTTTGGGAAGCCGAGGCGGGTGGATAATTTGAGGTCAGGAGTTTGAGAGCAGCTTGGCCAACCCGGTGAGACCCCATCTCTACTAAAAATACAACAATTAGCCAGGCGTAGTGGTGTGCACCTATAATCCCAGCTACTTGGAGCCTGAGGTAGGAGAATCGCTTGAACCTGGGAGGCAGATGTTTCAGTGAGCTGAGATCGTGCCACTGCACTCCAGCCTGGGCGACAGAGTGAGACTCTGTTTCAAAAAAAAAAAAAAAAAAAAAAAAAAAGATTCATTCATTTTTATGGCTGAATAATATTCCACTGAATTGATATACCACATTGTTTGTTTTGTTGTTTTGTTTTTTTCACAGCCAATTTTCATACTGTTGTTTCACATTCTCACAGCCCTCAGCACATGCCACATCCCAGCCCAGCTCTGGGACTTTGGTTCAGGGCTCAGAGCCTCTGGTCTGGGCTGATCGAAAACCTCCTTTGATCCTGTGGCAGTAGGTGGACCTTGGCTCTGCTCGTCCCTACTCAGAGCTCAGGGCAGTGCCCCATGCAGCTGCCCCACTTCCACGAAGGCCTCCGCGCGGCAGTCAATGTCTTCCTTATTGTGCACTGCTGAGATCTGTACCCAGATCCGGGCCTTGCCCTTGGAGACCACGGGGTAGCTGAACCCAATGACAAAGATGTCTCTCTTCAGCATGTCATCCGCCATGCGAGAGGTCAGCTGGGCATCACCCAGCATCACAGGGCGGATAGGGTGACTGTCTCCCGAGACAGTGAATCCAGCAGCTTCCATCTTACTACAGAACCACTGGGTCTTGGCAGCTATAGAGTGGATGATGGTGTTGCTCTCCAGGAGCAGATTTAGGGCCTTGGAAAGGCAGCCAACAACAGCAGGTGGCAGACTGTTAGAGAAGAGGTAGGGCCGGGCGGCAGCAGGGACACCAGGGCCCCATGCCCTGTCGTGTAGCCCCCTGTTGCTCCACCCAGGGCCTTCCCCAGGGAGGAGTTGATGATGGTGACCTGGCCCATCACGTCTAACAGCTCATCTGTGCCCCCTCTTGTGGGTCCCAGGAAGCCAGTGGCACGGCATTCATCCACAAAGACCAGGGCGCCATGTCTAGAGGCGAGGCGGCAGATCTCCTGTGGAGGTATGCTGTCGCCATCCATGAAAAAGGCCCCATCGGTGGCCACCAGGCGCAGCCGATGCTTCTGGGCCTCCTGCAGCTTCTAGGTCGGCCACGTCCAGGTGGCGATAGCGGTTACTTGTGGGCCTTGCACAGGCAGATGCCGTGGATGATGGCGGCATAGTTCAGCTCGTCCGACAGCACTGCGTCCTTAGAGGTCAGGAGGGCCTCAGAGGCCGGCATTGGCGTCACAACAACTGGAATAGAGGATAGCATCCTCCCGCTGGTGGAAAAGGGTTATTTTTGCTTCTACATTCTTGTGGATGCTTTGGGTTCCACGGACGAAGCAGACAGAGCTAAGGCCAGCTCCAAAGAGCCTTCAGACCTGCCTGAATCACCTCGGGGTGGCTGCTCTGGCCCAAGTAGTTGTTAGCACAGAAGTTGAGGATTCCTCCGGAGACGCCGTCCACGCGGATGTGCGGCCCCTGACGGGACGTGATGACCCGCTCACTCTTCCAGGTGCCAGCTCCGCGGATCCCTTCCAGCTCCCCCTCCAGAATGCCGCGCAGCTGGGCCAGCGCTGACTGCGCGCCGCCCAGCAGGGCACTCCGGAGAGCGCCGCGCGCCAGGCGTTCCCAGCCCACATTGCTCCTACCTCGCCAGAGCGCGCCTCCCTGCCCGAAAGCCGTGCGCACTGCCCACATTGTTTATCCATTCATCTACTGATGAACACTTGGATTGTTTCCACCTTTTGGCTAGTATGAATGTTACTATGAACACTCATGTCCAAGTTATTGTGTGGACATATGTTTTCAATTCTTCTGGGCATATACCCAGGAATGGAATTGCCAGGTCAAATGGCAATCGTACAATTGCTCGAGGAACTTCTAGACTATTTTCAGCTCCACCATTGTACATTCCCACCAGCAGTGTATAAACGTTCTAACTTCTCCACATCTTTAGAAGACACAATTTTTATTACTATTATAGCCACCTAACGGGTGTAAAGTGTTTCGGTTTGCATTTCTCTGCTAATGATATTGAGTATCTTTGCATTTCTCTGCCAATGATATTGAGTATCTTTGCATGCGCATACTGGCCATTTGTATACCTTCTTTGGAGAAATGTCTATTCAGATCCTTTGATCAATTTTAAAATTGGGTTGTCTTTTCAATATTGAGTTTTAAGATTTCTCCATAGTTCCTTATCTATGATTTGCCAACATTTTCTCTCATTCTATGGGTATTCTATGGGTTAATATTCTATGGGTTAGTAGTCTATGGGTTGGTGCAATTACTTTTGTACCAACCTATCTTTCTGAGGGTCTCTTTTAATTGGTGAGTTAAATCCACTTATACTATTTACACTGTTCTCCACATGGTCAAATGCACTGGGTAACCTTTAAGTTGATTTTTCTCCCTGGACAGCTCCCTCCTGACATCCTCTGTCCTGCTCCCATCTGGACTGAATACTCTAGCGCTGCAAAGCTGTTATCTTGCCACAATGCTGGGTTGGTTCCCTGATTTTTGCTATCTCTGCTCTTCCTTGATTTACTTCCTTAATTTCTGTGGAGTATATCCTTCAGCAGCCTTTGAAAAAAATGGCATGGAGAGTAAAGTTTGAGATTTTGTGCCTGCAATGTTTTTAACTTCATGTGTGAAGACAGCCTGATTGGTCATAGAATTACTGTTTCCTGGGTTTGGTCAATGAGAGTTTGGTTACAAATGGATACTTTGTTAGCTATATCAATTTGGTTTCTGAGGTTCAGAGAACTAGGAAATATTTATTTGACAAGGGATATCTCAAAAAATTTATCATCTATTTACTGCATGAGTTTGGAGAGCTGGAAATTCAATAGGTAGGAATCTGTCCTCAGAACTCTGAAGGCATTGATCCACCATCTTTTGTCATCCAGATTTGCTAATGAGAAGTCTAACACAAATGTAAATCCGTTCCTAAGTGATTTTTTTTCTGGACATTTGCAGGATCTTCTATTTACTCTGGGGGTTCTGAAACTTCACAGTGCTATGCCTTGATGTGGATCTTTTTCATTCATTACACTTGACACTCTGCTATGCCTTTTAATCTAAAGATTGAAGTTCTGGAATAGCCACTGTATTAGTCCATTTTCACACTCTATAAAGAACTGCCCAAGACTGGGTAATTTATAAAGGAAAGAGGTTTAATTGACTAAGAGTTCAGCCGGGGAGGCCTCAGGAAACTTACAATCATGGAAGAAGGCAAAGGGGAAGCAAAGCACCATCTTCACAAGGCTTCAGGACAAACAGTGAGGAGTTAAGGGGGCAGAGCCCTTTATAAAACCATCAGATCTTGTGAGAACTCACCCACTATCACAAGAACAGCATAGGGGAAACCAACCCCAGGATCCAATCACCTCCCACCAGGTCTCTCCCTAGACACGTGGGGATTATGGGGATTACAATTCGAGATGAGATTTGGGTGAGGATGGCCGGGGGCGGTGGCTCACGCCTGTAATCTCAGCACTTTGGGAGACTAAGGCGGGCGGATCACAAGGTCAAGAGATCGAGGCTAGCCTGGCCAACATGGTGAAAACCCGTCTCTACTCAAAATACAAAAATTAGCTGGGTGTGGTGGCACACGCCTGTAGTCCCAGCTATTCGGGACGCTGAGGCAGGAGAATCACCTGAATGCGGGAGGCAGAGGTTGCAGTGAGCCGAGATTGTGCCACTGCAGTCCAGCCTGGCGACGGAGAGACTCCATCTCAAAACAAAAACAAAAACAAATTCAGGTGAGGGCACAGACAAACCATACCAGTCATTTATGTTATTTCTAATAACCCACTGCCTCCATTTCTATTTTAACTTTTTTCACTTTCTAAAACTGTTAGTCTGGTTTTAGACCCCTATATTTATCTTCTGTGGCTTTCATCTTTTCTCTTTGTCTCTTTCAGTTCCCCTTTCAGGAATATTTTCTCACCCGCATCTTCCAACACTATTAATTACTTTTGAATTTTAAATATTTTTAATTTTAAAAAGCCCTACTATTTTGATACTGCTTCACTTCCAATTGTTTTATGAATGCGATTTCTCCAGATATCTTTCAAACTAATTCTTTCATTCACTACATAGCACTGTCTTGTATTTTAAAGATTCTGAAAAACACAATTTTTTAACGCTTATGTAGTGCTACATCAAAACATCAATGTACTGAAGATTTTAAGCAGCATGCAGCATCATCAGATGTTTTTGTTTCTTCACCCTCATTTCCCCACCCCTACCAGATCTGTTTTTGATGTTTAGCCTAGAAGTAGCAAGAAGGATGAACTAAAGCAGATTAGGGATCAAGCTGGTAATCCAGGTGGGAAATAATGAGTCTTCTCTAAGGTAACAGTGGTGAGGTAAAGGCAAAAGGATAGCTGACAAACATTAGGAGGTGAAATGGCACAGGACTTGGTGAAAAACTGGTTAGGAGAAGAGGGAAGAGAAAAGTCCAGGTTATACTCAAATTTATGGTTTGGACAACAGGAAGAATAGGAATTTCTCCAAGTTGAGTCCTATTATAAACATTTTCAGTTTTGTATTTCACTTTGAGTCTCAATCTACCAAGATAACTTCCTTTCAATCAGCAAAACACCTGTTTACTACTTACTAACAATATTAAAGATGCAAATATTTACTAAACATATTTTTCTCATTTTACATACATGGCTATCATTTTATTTCTAAAAAAGTTTAATTCTATTTACTCATTAAAATACTTACATTTAAATACTCCAACATAATACATTAGGTGTATTAAATATAGAGATGCTCCTCAAATGAAGAATATAGTCTGATCTGGTTTTATACACAATAACGACAATTTAAAATGTAAAAAACTGGGCTTAAAAAATGCAGCCAACCACCTGTTTTACTAAGTTTTACCAGGTATCTCCTTCTAAAAATTCCTTATCAGAGCTATTTCTTTAAACCCAACATTTACTACATTAACAGATGGGTTCTTTAAACGAGAAATTTTACTTTCAACTCACTGATTTTATACTTAGAGGCTTTAAAATTTTTTAGAATATGTGAAGATCGGAATTAAACCATTCTCCCCGTATTTTTCCTGGACTGTTTGCTGACTGCTTGTTTTTATATAAAGCTTTAAACATGTCTACCATGGGTAGTAAACAAAAAGGACTACTTGAAACTATAAAACCTACCAAAGTGCCAAATGCATCATCACTGCTTTTTCCTTCTTTTATAAGAATCATTACTATGAACTCGTACTCGTTGGTGCACAGAGGATGCTATTTTCATGCTCTCTTTCTTAGTAAAGGTCTTCTCTATAGCTCCAGGTTTCCAAAGTAACAACTGTGCATCTTCTCCTCCAGTCAACAAAGAATCATCTTGCACATTCCAACAGAAAGAACGGACTGTAGCAGCATGCCCTCCCTGAAGGCTAGTCACATGAGTCAGTCCTGACGTGCTGCAGTTCATCAAGTGAATCCTTCCTGTGTTTGTTCCTCCAATAACATGCAATGTGTCTGTCTTTTCATGGTACAGGCCACCAATCAAATAGTCCAAAGAATCTTCTTTCATGTTAACTGCCTCTCTGACATCCTGGATGTTCAAACGTGTAACTGGTTCATCAGTATCCAGATGATTAAGATCCCACCAATAAAATCCTTCATCATGTGTCATGCAGTAAATCTGTTTATAACCTTTCCCAGACCAACCAATACAGCTTACTGATGAAATTGAGTTACAGGTTGTAACCAGTGCATCCTCCTCATTATCAACATTAATATCAAATACATTTACCAGGCCATCAGATGAACCTGAGACTACCATGTTGGGATTGCTGGGATGGAAACGTACTTGAGTGACATCATCACTATGTGTCTCTGAATATGCACCAAGTGGGTCTCTAGTTGTAGATAAATCCTGAGAATTCATCCTTGCATCCCAAAACACCAACAATGCATCATCATCAACTTTTTCTGTACCAGCACAAATAATATGATCATTACAATTAATATCAAAACTGATAAAAATATTGGAAGGGTAACCCTTGAAGAGCTGAACAGGTTTTTCTCTGGCTACTCGAGCATCCCAACATTTCACAGTGCCATCAGTACATGCTGAATATACACTATCACAGGAATTTGCAAATCTGACTCCATTAAGAAGTCCAGGATATCCACTAAATTCTCGTAGTACATTTAACCTTTCTTTATCATATATTCTGATTGATCCATTAGAACATAAAACAGCAGCCAAGTTTTCTGCTCCTGCTTGGACAGTCTTTGATGTGTCTATACCAAGAAGGTAAGTGGGCTCTTTGGTTCCCGAGGAAGATTTAACAATGTGCAGATTAGCAAACTGTTCCTCAATCTTTTCCATATCAACAGCAGCATCCAAGGGTAGTAAAACTCTGTAAAATAAATAAATAAATAAATAAAAATAAAAATTAATGCTTAACAATGGAGATACATAAAAAATTTTAACCTGAAGTTTCTCTAAAATTGCAAATAAATCAAGAACATTTTACTCTGAGGGCTGGCATGAATCAATCAATCAATAGAAATGTATTCTAATACTATAATCGTTTCTTTACTATGATGTAACTAAAACTCAGTTGCCTTCTAATTCAATCACTCTTTAATACTGAATTTACTGCCAGGAGTGGTGGCTCACACCTGTAATTTCAGCACTTTGGGAGGCGAAGGCAGGAGGACTGCTTGAGGCCAGGCATTAGACACCAGCCTGAACAACAAGGTAAGACCCCCGTCTCTTCAAAAAATAAATTAGCAGGGCATGGTGGCCTATGCCTGTAGTCCTAGCTACTCAGGAGGCTGAGGTAGGAGGATTGCTTGAGACCAGGAAGTTGAGACTACAGTGATCCATGATCACGTCACTGTCCTCTAGCCTGGGGAATGAAGCGAGACCCTGTCTCAAAAAAGAAAAAAAAAAAAAAAATGCTGAATTTACTATATATATTTTATGCTAGTAAGAGAATAAAAAGCATGTGCAAACACCACCCAGCAGTTCTTTTTAGCTCAAACCCAATTAGTGGTTCTACTCAAGTCATCCTCAGCATTGGCAAGGATCTCCACTTTGGAATAATCTTCTCCTGGCCCCAGCTGCCTTACACAACTTTAGAATTTAAACATAGATATGTGGGGGCGGGGGGGAGGGCGGGGAAAGGTTTCCCAAAAATATTCATGCCTTAATCCCTGGAACCTGTGAATATGGTTACAAAGGAAAACTGAAGTTGCACATGGAATTAAGGTTGCTAATCAGCCTAATTTAAGGCTAACCTTAAAATAGGGAGATTATCCTAGATTATCTATTATCACCCTGGCCCAATATGGTAACAAGTGTCTTTAAAAGTGGAAGAGGGAGGCAGAAGAGTCAGAGGAAGAGGTTCCCATAGAAGGCAAAGACACAGAGAGATACAATGTTGCTGGTTTTGAAGACAGAGGCTGAGGGTGGCCTCTAGAAACTAAAAAGCAAGAAGATTTTCCGGCCGGGCGCGGTGGCTCACGCCTGTAATCCCAGCACTTTGGGAGGCCGAGGCGGGCGGATCACAAGGTCAGGAGATCGAGACCATGGTGAAACCCCGTCTCTACTAAAAATACAAAAAACGAGCCGGGCGCGGTGGCGGGCGCATGTAGTTCCAGCTACTCGGGAGCTGAGGCAGGAGAATGGCGTGAACCCAGGAGGCGGAGCTTGCAGTGAGCCAGGATCGCGCCACTGCACTCCAGCTTGGGCGACAGAGCGAGACTCCGTCTCAAAAAAAAAAAAAAAAAAAAGATTTTCCTCTAAGCCTCCAAATGGAAATGCAGTCCTGTTGACATCTTAATTTTAATTAAGCCCAGTGACATCCATTTTGGACTTCAGACCTCCAGAACTGTAAGATAATAAACTTATGTCATTTAAACAACTAAGTTTGCAGTAATTTGTTATAGCAGCAATAGGAAACAAATACAACAGAGGTTCCCAGTATAGAATCCCGGAGAAGTGCTTCTAAGGCAGTAGCAGCTTGCCATGGTAGAACTGGGATTTGATCCTAGGTATTCTGGCTTCAGGCTTCACACACTGTGCTCTACACCACCATACTAGACTGCCTCTCCAGGGTGGGCTGTATGTAGGACAAGTTCAAGGTCAGAAAAACATGCATGCCTAGTAACACTATCATAAATCCTTCTATTG